TGGGGTTTAGGGTTTCGGGTTAGTGTTTAGGGCTTGGGGCTATTTTTACGGGCTAAGGATTAGGCTTTAGGGATAAGGGGTTTAGGGTTTTTGGGTTTTGGGGGTTTCACGGCCTAGCGGCTCGATGGCGGTGCGGTTGGAAGATGAAAGTGCTGAGAGTTCACGGATGGACCCAGTTCTGAATTCTGGATCCCTCGACTCCCTTGTCTTGCACTTCAAATATAATCCCTAAGGGGCCAAAGGACTTAATAATTAGGTATTTGGGTCGCGGATAGGAGTTGTGCAGGGTAGAGTAGGGCAGAGTTTGGGAGAGCATATGATTATTATTAGGTACTTGGACCCTTAGGCTTAATATGATCGTCAACCTTAATTTGAGTGGCTGCTAAGGTTCTTGTTGTGATTAGTACGGAGACCATCATTGCCAGTTGATTCGTACGACTATGGTTCGCATCTGAAGATGATGATGATGATGGTGATGATTATAATGATGAAAAAGAAGATTGAGGTTATTCTGGTGATGATGATTATGAGGATGATGGTGATGGTGATCATGATGATGGTGGTGGTCGTGATGATGATGATGATGATGATGATGATGATAACGGTGGTGATGATGATGATGATGATGACGATGGTTGCGATGGCAATGACGATGATGACGGTCATGATGATGATGGTGGCGATGATCTCCAATATGCTATCATGTGTTGGGACTAACTTTTAACAAGACTTTTTGTTTTCATGGTTATAGTTATAATTATAATCTATACTTAGCCCGAATCTTTCATGTAGGAGCCCGACGCAGGTCCGCTTGCATTGTCCCAGCCTTGAGCGCAAGAAAATGCGCCCCGAGGCTACCTGGCCCAGGCGACTGTCTCAGGGAGAGGAAAGACTGCAAGCGCAAGCAAAGCTAAAACGAAAACCCATGTCCCAAAGGGTCTAAGTACTTATATGGTAGGTACTATATGGGTACTTAGACCCTTTGGGTCTTTTTCCTGAACCTTGAAATCACACATCCAAAACATTTCGGAAAGCCGACATAGACCCGAAACTACTCGCCTGATACCGCCTAGACACAATATGGGGGTTTCCGAAAATAGGGGACCCTAATATAGTACCCTAAATAGTAGGATCCCTATTATAAGGACACCAAAATAAGGTACCCCCCCCCAATTTTCTGAAGCTCCCATATGGGTGGTTGTCAAAATTATGGTCCCTTTTTGGGTCCTTATTATAATACGGCACCTATTATCTAGGGTACCCCAAAAGGGACCATAATTTTGACAACTACCCACATGGGTTTCCAAGCCCTGATTCTCCAAGCCGTAAGCCTCGGTTTAGGGCTTAGGGTTACTGAGCCCATGGCTAGGTCTTGGGTTTAGGCTTTAGGGTTTAGGGTTTTAGGGTTTTGGGGTTTAGGCTTTAGGGTTTAGGCTTTGGGGGTTTAGGGGTTTCAAGAGCCGAGGCTGAACTCAAATACAGTGTTGTAGACATCTGTTTGAGTT